TCTTCCGGGGGTTTGGGTTGGCAACCGCCTCAAAGGCTGCCTCAAGCCCATTGATGAAGTTTGGTGGCACCATGTGTACCATCTTGGGCTTGACACTCTCCTTGAACTGTAATTTCATTAAGCAGTGCAGTGTTGTACCTCTCAGTAAGGAGAAGTTAACATATAAAACGCAGCAGATACACAAAACCTCCTCAACAAGTGACTGGAATGGTTGTGTTTAGGGTTTGTAACAACCTCTCGTTTAGTCTGTATTTTCACAGTAAAGAAACAGGTTTCTATGCTTACCGTTTTGAGGCTCACCCTGTTGACCTGCTGCTGGTCAAGAAGGTCTCTCTCCCTGAAGCCCATTTCGTAGAGGGTGCTGAACATGTCCATGGTAGCCTTGGCTGATCCTGGACTGTTAAAAGCAGGCTTGAAATCCGACTTCCATTTTTCATATGCTGTGTAGAACAGCTGGAACGGCCTACTGCCGATTTCGAAGCCTATTTTTGATGCCATTTCCCGAACCTCCACTGGAATGCCTTGAAGGCCAGGAAGGTCACCTTGACTAGGTTCAGGAACGTTCTGAATAGCCTCCTTCGATAATGCGAAAGGAATGGGTAGCAAAGAAAGAGGGAATCATGCTTGACAAGTAAAGCAAGCAAAATCATCAGGATAATCGGCGGCGCAAACAGCTATGGCAGCGTCCCCAAGCTGTGGGGACCTCTGCCGTTGGGGAGGGCCGTTTGTACCGGGGCTCTCTCCCCTTGGGGAGCCTGAGAATCTCCCCAAACGATTTTCCCTGGGGAGTATTTCGTCGTGGCTGAAGCGCCCTCACCGGACGCGCCCGACCAGTTAGGGAAGGTCCAGGAGTGACTCGCGCCGCCTAGCGCCATCGATTTCCCGCAATCCCGGCGACCTTCCCGACGGCCCAGCACCATACCAATTTGTACGGCATATACTACCCATCCCTACAGCAAACCAATGCTTCAAACGAAATTTCCCATTGCATGAGGTAGACAGTTAGTAAGCGAAATTGGCTCTGTTGGTTAGGTGAATACAAACAATAGCTTTGCCTTACCAACTTCACTCGCTGATGAAGCTTAAGGTCGAGGACCCCATTAAGAAGAGCATTGCCAATGCAAAGAGGAATAAAAGGCGACGGGATAGAGCAAAGCAGCTTCGGAATGCCCAGCCCCCGAGCCTTTCGACAAACGTAGCTGTCCCAAGTGCCAATGCGCAAGAGGCGCCGGTGAACATTGATAACGACGCGACCTATGAGCTCGAAGATTTGA